TGGTTTATAAATTAGGAAGGTGGGTGTTAAGACTCGTGTGCCAGCTGCGACCATACCTCATGAAGGCGGATCTGGCCAGGGTGGTCCATGCCTTAGTCACCTCCAGATTGGATTACTGTAATGCACTCTACGTGGGGCTGCCCTTGAAAACGGCTCAGAAATTTCAGCTGGTCCAACGGGTGGCAGCCAGGTTGTTAACTGGTGCTCCTTTCAGGGAGCGGTCAATCCTCCTGTTTAAGGAGCTCCACTGGCTGCCGTTCATTTTCTGGTCCCAACTCAAGGTGCAGGTTCTTACCTACAAAGCCCTGAATGGTTTGGGACCCGCCTACCTGCATGACCGCATTTCTGTGTACGAACCCACACGATCTGGAGAGGCCCAGCTTGCGCTCCCACCTCCATTGCAGACGCGATTGGTGGGGACGAAGGAGAGGGCCTTCTCAGTGGTGGCCCCTCGATTCTGGAATTCACTTCCCAAGGACATCAGGCATACCCCAACTCTGGCAGTCTTTAGGAGGAGCCTGAAAACATGGTTGTTCCAGTGCGCCTTCCCAGAATAATGAACTCTCAGCATTGTGCCCTCTAAATGCACTTTACACTGCTTTAGGATTGTTTGTACGCTCTCACCAACGCCCCATCTCTCCTATCTTGTTCATGCCTAGCATTATTTTTTAACTCTAATTACATTTGGCCCAGCCATAGATTTTAAATGTGTGTTGTATTACTGTCATTTTTATTGCTTTTCTGTTTATGAGTGTTAGTTTAATTGTTTTGTTGTTGTTGTTATTGCTTGTATTGATGTATTGTGGGCTTGGCCTCATGTAAGCCGCACCGAGTCCCTTGGGGAGATGGTAGCGGGGTACAAATATTTATTATTGTTATTATTATTATTATTATTATTATTATTATTATTTTCTGTGTAGGAAAGACCTAGTTTGAAATACAGAAAGAAAAAAGTGAATAAGATAGCAATCTCAAACACTGAAGCCTTAACTCTAGCTTTGGTAATGTTATTATGAGCGCTTTTATGGCAACACTGGGTTCATTGAAACTGCTGCTTTTTGTGTTTCTTCTTGTAACTGCCTGGGGCGTATCTACATGACATAATTAATAGAAGCCACCGGTGGTGCAATGGGTTAAACACTTGTGCTGGCAGGGGAGGTTCGAATCCAGGGAGAGCGCGGATGAGCTCTCCCTGTAAGCTCCAGCTCCCCATGTGGGGACATGAGAGAAGCCTCCCACGGGGATGGTAAAGTATCAAAAACATCCAGGCGTCCCCTGGGCAACATCCTTGCAGATGGACAATTCTCTCGCACCAGAAGCGACTTGCAGTTTCTCAAGTTGTTCCTGACTAGATGCCTATATATTGAATGTTGTAGCAATTAATCAAAGACATAATATACATTATTGCAATTATATAATTGTTTTACTTTTGGTCTTAGGGACCTTTTGCCTTTGACAATTCTCTCACACAAGAAGTGACTTGCAGTTTCTCAAGTTGTTCCTGACACTAGATGCCTATATATTGAATGTTGTAGCAATTAATCAAAGACATAATATACATTATTGCAATTATATAATTGTTTTACTTTTGGCCTTAGGGACCTTTTGCCTTTGACAGTTCTCTCACACCAGAAACGACTTGAAGTTTCTGAAGTTGTTCCTGACACTAGATGCCTATATACTGAATGTTGTAGCAATTAAGCAAAGACATAATATACATTATTGCAATTATATAATTGTTTTACTTTTGGTCTTAGGGACCTTTTGCCTTTGACAATTCTCTCACACCAGAAGCGACTTGCAGTTTCTCAAGTTGTTCCTGACACTAAAAAATAATAATAATGCAGACTGAAACCACTTTAACTGCCACAGTTCAGTGCTATGGACTGCTGGGATTTGTAGTTTGGTGAGGTAGGCTGTTAGGAATTGTGGGAGTTGAAGTCCAAATCACCTGGAGGGCCCAAGTTTGCCCATGCCTGTTCTACAGTTTACAATGTACTCTGTCTTTTTCTGATAGCAAACGTGAGAAATCCTGGTTGCATAATCTCTATATGAGTTGCAAATGAAAATGGTTCATTCCAGTGCCACGAGCGCACCCCTCTTTCGTGGCGCACATTGGTATCGCCCAGAAGCCTTGCAGAAGGGAAGCGGCTGCAGAGGTGAGCGGCTGCTCCATTTGTGCGCTGGGAGGGGGGCTTCCTTTGGAAACATAGAAACATAGAAAATATAGAAACATAGATAAGGGGAAGAGGGCTGGAGACAAGGCAAGGACTTTAGCAAGGGGAGGGAATGGCTTTTGCGATGATTGAAGCCGGGTCTGGGGCCCGACAGGCTTTTGTGGCTGATCTCTACTCGCCTTGGGGTGTATTTACTATCTACACTGTAGAATGAAAGCAGTTTGACAACACTTGGACTGATGCTAAGGAATCATAGGGTTTGCAGCTTTACAAGGACTTCAGCCTTTTCTGCTAAAAAGTGCTGGTACCTCCCTAAACTGCAAATCATATTATTGAGCCATGACAGTCAAAGTAGTGCCAGGCTGCATTCATTCTATGGTGTGGATGCACCTTATGTAGAATTAATGCATCTACACCAGGCATGGGCAAACTACCCGGCTGTTAGGAATTGTGGGAGTTGAAGTCCAAAACACCTGGAGGGCCCCAAGTTTGCCCATACCTTATCTACACTGTACGAGGGTTGAATGAAAAGTAACGCCTCCACCTCCATTACTTGGATTTGGATGGGAATATTTTAATATAACAAATCATAGAATCATACAGTTGGAAGAGACCTCATGGACCATCCAGTCCAACCCCATGCCAAGAAAAAAACAAAACCTTTTTTGTTGTGTCAAGAACGACTTGAGAAACTGCAAGTCGCTTCTAGTGAGAGAGAATTGGCCATCTGCAAGGACGTTGCCTAGGGCACGCCCGGATGTTTTGTTGATTTATCATCCTTGTGGGAGGCTTCCCTCATGTCCCCGCATGAAGAGCTGGAGTTGATAGAGGGAGCTCATCCGTGCTCTTCCCGGATTCCAACCTTCGACCTGTCGGTCTTCAGTCCTGCCGGCACAAGGGTTTAACCCAGTGCGCCACCGGGGGCTCCAATGCAGATATAATCCATAGAATGTGCTCTTTAACTACCACTATTCGCTTTTCCACATAATCACAAGATAACTGCTTCTAAAACTGGGGATCCAAAAAGTAAACGTTTTCTGAATGGCATCTAGTGGCTATTTAAGACTGTTTACAAATCTGCAGTGCAGTGTTGACAGTGAATTCTGAAGATACTATACTTCATAAAAAAGGAAAAATGCCCTGCTTTGCAAGACTTGTAAATGCTGATTTGTTATTAGTAAATATTTAATTTTTATTCCTATTTTATATACCTGGGGCCCACATAAACATTTATTTGGACAAAAGGGGCCCTGAATGGAAACATTTAAGATTGCCAAAATTGAGAAATTATTTTCCTTTTGTTAACATTAATGCTGCAGAAAGTATTTCCACTCCTTTGTTCCTATTCATTCCTAAGTAGCGTTGCTTAACGTTTCTGGTCACAGAAGTATTGAAAGCATTTAATCAGTCAGTAGGAAGACATGTGGGACACTAGGAGTCAGAAGTACAGGCTGGACAATAAGTCACCCAGTTACATTGATCAGTTGTGTTACACCCTTTGTGGCAAAATAACACAATCTGCTGCTGTTGACCTACTAACACACTTAGTGCTACTCCTCAACACATGCTTCGCATCTGTATAAACAGAAAGTAGGACATTTTTCACAATTCATCCCCTTTTCTAAGTACAGTCAGCTCTCCACATTTGCTGCGGACAGGAGCACAGGACTCTTGTGAAAGTGGGAAAACCAGGAATGTAAACAACTCTATTTTTCCCCTGAAAGGACCTTTCTCTGTGGGTGCATCTTCACTGTAGAATTAATATAGTTTGACACCACTTTAATTGCTGTGGCTCAATGCTATGAAACCCTGGGAGTTGTAGATTTCCAAGGTCTCAACAAATTACAAGTTTCATGATTCTGTAACTTTGGGCCATGGAAGTTAAAGAGATGTCAAACTGCAGTAATTATGCATTGTAGATAAATCCAGCTTCTACCAGACCATAGAATTTAACTGGAGGACCTAGAGATTTCTGTCAAATCTGCAAAGGTCAAATCTGTAAATAGGGAGGGACAACTCGAAAAGGGTTTGAATAACAATTGTCACAGAGGGAGGGGTGATTCCATTCCAAAACGTCAAGGTTGATCAGGAGTGTTTCTGGGCGTTTCTACTAAATATGAAATATTGCCTCTCTTAAAGCAATGTGGGTTACTTGAAGGCATGGCTTTTCGAACAAGCTTTTGAGAATGCTTGGTCCATAGTTGTTCTGCGCAATAGTCGTACATCCTTGCACTTTATCCCATGGCCTCTCTCCATTGTTGCAGCTTGCACTTATTCCATTCCTATTCTTTACAGCTTGACCATGTGTACAGCAACTTACCACCACTGGTTGATGTCCTCAGATTATTGAGTCTGAGTTGATATTTTTATATGTGTGTGTTTTATTTTATTGTATTATGAGGGCCATGTATAAATATGTAAGGGGAAGTCATAGGGAGGAGGGAACAAGCTTGTTTTCTGCTGCCCTGGAGACTAGGACACAGAACAATGGCTTCAAACTACAAGAAAGGAAGTTCCACCTGAACATGAGGAAGAACTTCCTAAATGTGAGAGCTGTTCAGCAGTGGAACTCTCTGCCCCAGAGTTTGGTGGAGGCTCTTTCTTTGTAGGCTTTTAAACAGAGGCTGGATGGCCACCTGGGGTGATTTGAATGCAATTTTCCTGCTTGTTGGTAGGGGGTTGGATTGGATGGCCCACAAGGTCTCTTCCAACTCTATGATTCTATGATATTGCAGTAAGCTCACAGAACACAGTGGCCCATATAGGGGTCACATTGAGGCCCAAGTTACCCAATCCAGTGAGAAATTAAAAGCTCTGTTGTGAAAAACATATGAATAATTTTACTGTGTGCTTTAATGGATAGCTAGAAGCAGAGTGATTAGAACAGCCTTCTAGGTGTGCTTAGACTGCAAATCTCAAGAACCATAACCAACACATTCAGTGATGAGAAATGTTGGAAGGCGGTGGGAATCTTATCCCTGATGTAGAAGCACCCAGGCTGCTTTTTAAAATTATTTATTGTATTTTCATTCTTAGAAGCTGCTAGCTGAGAAAGGCGGTATACAAACACAGTAAATAAATAATAAACAAACATCCAGTGTTTCTTAACCTGGGGGTCGGGACCCCTGGGTGGGTCGTGAGGGGGTGGCAGAGGGGTTGCCAAAGACCACCAGAAAACACAGTATTTTCTGTTGGCCATGCGGGTTCTGTGTGGGAAGTTTGGCCCAAGTCTATCGTTGGTAGGGTTCAGAATGCTCTTTGATTGTAGGTGAACTATAAAACCCAGCAACGACAACTCCCAAATGTCAAAGTCTATTTCCCCCCAAACTCCACCAGGGTTCACATTCGGGCATATTGAGTATTCGTGCCAAGTTTGGTCCAGATTCATCATTTGAATCTACAGGAGGTAGATTCTGGAGGTAGGTGAACTACAACTCAAAAACTCAAGGTCTATGCCCACCAAACCCTTCCAGTTATTTTCTGTTGGTCGTGGGAGTTCTGTGTGCCAAGTTTGCTTCAATGCCATCGTTGGTGGAGTTCAGAAAGCTCTTTGATTGTTGGTGAACTATAAATCCCAACAACTACAACTCCCAAATGACAAAATCAACCCCCCACAACGCCAGTATTCACATTTGGGTGCATCGGGTATTTCTGCCATATTTGGTTCAGTGAATGAAAATACATCCTTCATATCAGATATTTACATTATGATTCATAACAGGAGCAAAATTACAGTTATGAAGTCGCAACAAAAATAATGTTGTGATTGGGGGTCATCACAACACGAGGAACTGCATTAAGGGGTCGCAGCATTAGGAAGGTTGAGAATCACTGCATTAAACTCTCGTTTGCTTTTGTTCTTACAGGCCTTTTCCACCGAGTGAAATGGCAAACGCGGCTCCCAATTTATTCATGACTTTCTTGGCCAGATCTCAGCTCGGCTTACTCATGCCAGGCCTTTCCGCCTTACACAATCAAAGAACGAATGGGAAGCTTTCCCAGCATTTCAGACACGCAGCCGATTTCATATCAGGACAGGAGAACAAAGCCACTGTAGAAAGTCTGTCTGAATTATCTGTGGATGTCAAGAAAATCCGTAGGCTGAAGCCATGGGTGCTCTCAAAAGAGGTGACGTATGTCAAAGAAATGGCTAGTATTCTACAAAAAATGGGAGCTGATGGGAGTTCTGTAGCATATATTTTTGAATGCTGTCCGGAGGCCATTCTTCGCAGCCCTGCAGACGTCAGTTGTCAAAGAGACCTGTGGTTATCCGTCTGCCGAAATGAAAACCAGTTAGTTGAATTAATAAAACGGTTCCCGGATTCCTTTTTTACAGTTGAACACTATGAAAGCCAGAAAGCCAATGTCAAATTCTTTAAAGACCTGGGGCTAAAGAATACCATTATCAGCAGGCTTTTAACAAGTGCCTCGAATATTTTTCATAATCCTGTGGAAAAGAACAAACATATGATAGAAACCTTGCAGAGTCACTACTTAAGGCTAGGTGGTTCACAGGAGAATATGAAGACCTGGCTGCTAAAACTACTGAGTCAAAATCCATTCATTTTGTTAAATACCTCTTCCACTGTCCAAGAAAACTTGGAGTTCCTTCACAAGAACAAGTTTACTGATTCAGAGGTCTTATGCCTTGTATCCAAGCTCAAGGGGTTTATTGTTCAGCTCAACCCTGCCACGATGCAGAACAGCCTGCTGTACTCAAAGAATATTTTCAAATGCACGGATCAAGAACTGAAAGAATTAATACTGAAATGCCCTGCCCTTCTCTACTATTCGGTTCCAGTTTTGGAAGAAAGACTGCAGGAGCTCTTGAAGGCCGGGGTTTCTGTCGACCAAGTGAAAGAGGCGCCTGGAGTACTGGAACTTTCAACAGAGATCGTGCAGCACCGGATAAAAAAATTAAATGCCATAGGCTTCAGTTTAAAGACTGGCAATCTAGAATATCTCAACGGAACAAAAAAGGATTTTGAAACCGCTTACGGAAAGATACAAGCAAAAAGGGAGAGGCCTGTATTTAATCCAGTTGCTCCTTTAAATATTGAAGATTAAATTCCAGAACATGCTTAAGCAATGTTGTATGGAAGAGAGAGAAAAAACAAACAAACAAAGGATGCACTTTTTACACCTTAAGTAAATTGGACCTAATTGACACTCAAAGTGGATTTTTTTTTATCCAGATGTACTTCCTTCATCTTAAGAGGAAATACAATATATGATGGAATTGCAAGCTTTCTTACCTAATTGGAGGCTAGTTTATCTGGTGCCTTGAGCAGTATTGTTCACACGGAGTGTATACTAAATAAAATAACAAAGTGGCTATAACATTCTGTCTTATTCCATTCAATTGGAACATAAACGTGTTTTAAACATCAACTTCTGGCAATACTTGGGTTCCATAGCTATGTTCTTATTAAGATTGTCATGTTCCATGTAAACTGGGGGGGGGGGGGGGGTTTTGTTTTTCATATGCTAAGGTAAAGGTAAAGGTTTTCCCCTGACATGAAATCCATTCGTGTCCAATTCTGGGGGTTGGTGCTCATCTCCATTTCTAAGCCAAAGAGCCAGCGTTGTCCGTAGACAACTCCAAAGTCATGACTGCATGGAATGCTGTTACCTTCCCGCTGGAGAGGTACCTATTGATCTTATATTTGCATGTTTTCGAACTAATAATTTGGCAGAAGCTGAGGCTAACAGCAGGAGCTCAGCCTGCTCCCCAAATTTGAACCTGCGACCTTTCGGTCAGCAAGTTCAGCAGCTCAGTGGTTTAACCTATTGCGCCACTGGGGGCTCCCTTTCATATGCCAGACATCTCAATTATTGCTTAGTTTTCCTGGGTTTTTCATCTTTGGATATTTTTTTTTCCAGGTTTTATAGCTGCAGTTTATATATATAGGGGGGGGGGGGGGGGAGAGAGAGAGAGAGAGCTCAACCACTATTTTATTCCTTGACTGTGTTGTGATTTTAGGTACTAAGGCTGCATTAATACGTCACTGGGGATGGATTTTACTGTATAGGATGTATGAACTTGAGTCAGTAGTTTGGCTGAATCCTGATGCAGTTTCTAAGTTAAAAAAAGCTTTGTTTCAACATTTATAATCTAGGTTTGGGATAACAGAAGAACTGTGTCAGATAAATAAATAAAAGCATGTTATTTATTTTGTGTCATAAATAAGTATAACATTGATCAAATAGAGGGAGCACAAGCAGCTAAATAATTTTAGAACAAAATGGGCAACAGCGATCACATTGTCTGTAGCTTTCAACAATTCTTCCTCTGTACCTGAGGCAGGGCATTGTGGGCAAGCATACAGATGCAGAGTTGTTTGTTCTGCTCCACAGTCACGCAAGGAGGAGGATTCTTCTAGGTAGTGCCATTTTGCCAGGTTGTCTTTGGATCTGCCCACTCCACTTCTGAGTACATTCTTGGTTTGTCCCTGGAGGAAGACCCTTGTAGGAGGCCATTAATTTGGGATTTCCTCATTTAGCTGCCCAGAGGTATATGCTTGCTGTTGCTGTGGGAACATTAAGAGAAGTGGTGGTTCTCATAAAGCTTTTCCTTGATTTAAGTCTACTGGGAGGAGGCTGATAACCATGCAGTGGATGGCTTTCACAGTGTTCAACCTTATTTCTGTCATAGTTAACATCAACTTCCTGTGGCACATGGGGTGGGGGGTGGGGGGCAATGCCAGCTAGGTTACAGAGTCTATCAACAGATGTAGGTTTGAGACATCCTGTGATTATTCTGCATGTTTTGTTCAGTGCTATATTCACCTGGACAGACTTGTGCCAAACAGGGCAGGCATAGAATCATAGAGTTGAAAGAGACCTCATGGGCCATCCAGTCCAACCCCCTGCCAAGAAGCAGGAATATCGCATTTAAAGCACCCCTGACAGATGGCCATCCAGCCTCTGTTTAAAAGCTTCCAAAGAAGGAGCCTCTACCACAATCCGGGGCAGAGAGTTCCACTGCTGAATGGCTCTCACAGTCAGGAAGTTTTTCCTAATTTTCAGATAGAATCTCCATACTCAGCAGTTGAGTAAGACAAGGTCAAAAGCATGTTAAGAGTGTATATATCTGTCTTGTGCTGGTCCATCTAGGCCAGTATTATTGATTGGCAAGAGCTTTTCAAAGTACTGAACATAGTTCTTAGGCTTGATACCTAATCCCTTTAACTAGTGATGGTAAGGATTAAACCTTGGACATATGGAATGTATAAGATGTTCTTAGCACTGAATTGTGGATCTTTTCTTTATCTTAGCAACTGACATACAAGTAGCAACACTGTAATCTGTTATATCAGATGGTTTAATTTATAAAATTCTCATAAGTAATTCTAGACAAATTACAGCTTTTCCTCATCAGTTTTACAAAGTGACTCCGCCCACTGACCTACTGTTTAGAATCATAATCTGACCAAACGCACATTTTTCCTTTTATTTTAACACACACATTTTAAGAAATACTGCATACATAATATTCATGTGAACTTCAGCCATCTTTTACAGACTACAAAACCGCTACAGAGTCAACAAGAACATGCTGAAGAGTTTCTGAATGACTCAGAAGACTCAGATCCAATTGTTCCACAGTCCACCCTCTGATTACAGTAGGACTACTTTGGAATTAATGGATTGGGAATTTGAGGCAAGAGAGTACGTATATTATACTCTATATCTTGCTAAAAACACCTTGGAAATGTATGTGTTACACTGATTTTATGCAAGTTGCCTAGTTATGTTAAATTTTCTTCATTTTCAGTTGGGTTGTATTTTTTTCCAAATCTGTCACGTCTATGGAAAGTTCATTACGCCCTCATACTGAAAATGACAAACAATTCCTTAACTGCTTCTTCACAGTCTCTAAATATTCTGCACCAACAATGAAACAGGTGATGTGCAAGAACAGCAGTTGCTGGGCTTAGTGCCCTATGTTCAAGCACCACATCTCAGTTAATTTCTTTTAGAGAGGAATAAACCACTAAGAAGTGTTTTTATTCCAGAGCTAAAAGTTAACCGATATAGCACAGACTGTAAACTTGGGACTTATCTTTCACTTTAAACAACCGAACAGCACAAAGGACTTCCGTTTTGCAGGTGAGAAGTAGATACCAGTTAGCTACACCTGAGATTTAGCAGTCTTTCCTCAGTCAGTATCAATAATCTTTTTTTTTTAAGTGTAAAGCTTCTTCATAGACTGCATTGAAATGAGGGACGTTACAAAATCCTTATAGATTCACTAAGTAAAAATAGATTGTTTTTCACTATAAGGCATGAATGATTTGAGTTTATATAGGACTATATATGCACATTCACTCACACACCACACATCCCTTATGACAGCAGTCACCATTCAAAGAATTAAGAGTGTATAAAAATATTTTCAAAAAGCAAAGCTATATGAAGACCCTTTAGACAGTTCAATGATTCCTTGTTCAAGATGATACAGAAGCCAAAGACTTGTACTTAGAACATCGATATATTTATAGTACTGCAGAGGCTACCTACTAAAGGTACAATCTAGCCAAAAAGTAAGCACTCTAATGTTCAACAGAGTTCAAAGGAAGAGTTAAGCATCTATTTCAAATGCTTCCCATTGGAACCACTAGGACTTCAAAGTGCTTACCCTTTTGCTTGGTCGCTTTTTCCATTTGTATTTCACATTTTTAGTTTCTAGACTGCAAAAAGATCTACAGTGAACTATTATTCAAACATGAGTCATCCTTTCAGATCTGTGCACTTGATTACATGTGTTTCAAGTGTAACATTTCACCAGATGAGTGCTTGAAAAAAAATAAAAAGTTTTAGACACTTCGACACAAAGCTGCTTCTGTCCCTTTGATGTGAATGTTATCCATACAGCTCTCAAGATGTGTGTCAAGACCTGAGGCTTTGTAGCAGTCCAAAGGTTTGCAGATTTCAAAGCCATGCAGGGCATGTCCTTGACAAACAGGTCTCTTTCAGTCTCTTTGTTAATCAGACTTGTCCTTTTTCTTCCCTGTTAAAGGCACTTTGCTTGAGATTGCAGATCCTACAGCTGTAACGCCTCCTGTGACAGCAGAAACACTTCCTTTAACCAATCCGACTCCCATCGAAGGCACAGCTGTAACTGCCGTTTTGGTCACTTCAAAGCTTTTTCCTCCTATCCATGCTACGCCACCAATTGTGGCACCCACAGCTCCCTTTGTTATGCTGAAGAGGCCACCCGTCACCCGAGAAAGCATGCCAGCCTGTTGCTGAGGATGATCTTTTAACGCATCTATGGAGGAGAAAGAACAAACTATTGTGAATTATGAAACAGTAAAAGCAATACAATATCTGAATGTTCAGCGATATACATTGTCCTGAAAGAAGTGCTCCTCAACTTTTAACTAGATTTACAATAATTCTGACAGACAGCATGGGGTAGTTGTTTGTGGGACAAGGACATTTGAGACCAGGGTTCAAATCTCTGCTTGACCAGGGAAACCCACTGGGTGGCCTTGGGTAAGTCACACTAATAGGAAGGAAAGGACAAACTCCCTCTGAACAAATTTTGTGAAGAAAACTCCCTTCATAGATTTGTCTTTGGGTAGCTATATAACATGGGCCCCCTGGAGGCACAGCGAGTTAAACCGCTGAGCTGCTGAACTTGCTCACTGAAAGGTTGGTAGTTCGAATCCAGGGAGCAGGGTGAGCTCCCACTATAAGCCCTAGCTTCTGCCAACCTAGCAGTTCAAAAACATGCAAATATGAGTAGATCAATAGGTACCACTTCTGCAGGAATGTAATGGCATTTCTTTCAGTCATGCTGGCCACATGGCCTTGGAGGTGTTTATGGACAACACCGGTTTTTTGGCTTAAAAATGGAGATAAGCATCACCCTCCCAGAAGAAGACATGTCTAGACTTAATGTCAGGGGAAACCTTTACCACTATGTAACAACTGCATTTATTTGTAGCTCAAGAATATATGTTTAAAAAATCTAAGAGTTATATCAATGTTAAAATGAGAAAAACCGATTAAAAAAATATAGAACAGAAAATTAGCAACATCTGCCAAATGATGAAAACCTAGATTGTTTTGGGTTGTGACTGGTCAAACATGTATTTAAAAAGACTGAATCTATTTTTAAGCATTTTCTTCCCTGGAGTCACCGTGTCTCCAAAGTAGGTAACTTTCTTTGGCACTAGATCACTTTCTGGTGTTCACCTTCCCTTATTCTCTCTCTTAATATACACAGGTTTATTGTGGCTTCTATGCCAGGGGCAGCAAACATCAGGTTTATGGGATCTACTTTGTTGAACAGAAATATTTTCAGGACCCATA